ATAGTGATTTTAATCACTGTCAGATATCATTATACTTGATCTAACTATGCCACGTCACCACTGTGCCACGACCCCCCTGTGCTGGGTTTTTTTTTATATTTTAGCTTCGATGCGAAGCTGAGAAGGTATTGGTTTTACTAAGATGTGTTTTTTTTTTTTGTGTGTCTATTACCACTTTTTCTCAGCTCTCACCGAACCGATTTCTTTCAATGATACGTCAAAAGATCACAAATCGTATCTAGTCGAAGACATTACCCTTAAAAATTGAAAAAAATTCCCTCGTTCCCCGTAAAAGGGGGAAACCTCCAAAAAAATTACAAATTTAAAAATCGCTAATTTTCGAAATTTTTTCAATTTTTTTTACTTAAAAGTGCCATAACTTTTTCAAAAATAAACATATCAATATAATTCTTTTTTATATAGATGCATAATATCATTACCTTTCATTTGGTATATTTTTTTCATAAATTTAACCCTTAACCTGCCCACAAGGGGGGATTTAAAATGACAACTTTTTCACAAAAAATTAATTTTTTTAACTTAAATTTTGAAAATGTTCCGGAAGGTCTGACACTTTTATATATATCTTAAATTAAAGCTAATGTAATATGCTTTATCATGAAAAAAAAAAATTTCGGACTTTATCTTATCTTCATGGTGAAAATGGCTACCGAATGCTATTTTTGTGTGAAAATTTTCGATTTTGTATTTTCCATTTTTAACTTTATTATGCTATAACTTTTTGAAAAATGTATGAATCATTACAATTTTTTTATGAGAAGTAGTATTTATATAGATCTTTCATTCGACATACTGTTTTTTTAAATCGGACCATTTCCCTAAATACAGGGGGGATTCAAAACATAAAAATGCATATAGAAAGTAGAACTTTTTCAACGTAACTTTTGAAAGTGTTCCGGAAGGTCTGACACTTTTATATATATCTTAAATTAAAGCTAATGTAATATACTTTATAATGGTAAAAAAAAATTTCGGACTTTATTTTATCTTCATGGTGAAAACAGACATTAAACTTAATAAAAAAAATACGATTTTTGTAAAAAAATTCTTTTTTATATTTTTAACTTTATAATGCTATAACTTCTCGAAAGATGTATGGATCAATATAATTCTTTTTTTTGTAGATGCATGATGTCTTTACCTATCATTTGGTATATTTTTTTTATAAATCTGACTTTTTACCTGCCTACAGGGGGGGATTCAAAATGACAACTTTTTCACAAAAAATTGACTTTTTCAACTTAAATTTTGAAAGTGTTCCGGAAAGTCTGACACTTTTATATATATCTTAAATTAAAGCTAATGTAATATACTTTATCATGGAAAAAAAAAATTTCGGACTTTATTTTATCTTCAAGGTGAAAATGGCTACCAAATGCTATTATTGTGTGAAAATTCTCAATTTTATTTTTTACATTTTTAACAATATAATGCTATAACTTATTGAAAAGTGTATTGATCAATATAATTTTTTTATGGGAAATACTATTTTCTAATAATCTCTTTTTTATTCGACATACTTTGTCTTAATCAGGATATTAATAAGGAACTAGCAGTTTATGAATCTTTTGGAATAATCCACCAATTTTTTAAAATTAAACACTATCTAAAGATTTGCATCGAAGCGTTTTTTTTTTATAGTGATTTTAATCACTGTCAGATATCATTATACTTAATCCAACAATGCCACGTCACCACTGTGCCGCGACCCCCCTGTGCTGGGTTTTTTTTTTAATTTTGTGTTTCTTTTCGGTTATGTAATTTTGAGACATTTTTCTAAATTTCTAAATTAGAAGTGGTTTTTTTTAATTTTTAGTAATGATTGTTTTAACTAGATTAAAATCAGAATTCTTTTTACGTATTGACCATTACAAATGGTCCTGTAAGATTTTAGAATTTTTATGGACACGCACAAAAAAAATAAACACATGATAATACCTTTTCAACTTTGCATCAAAAATATGCTTTTAACATAGTTAAAAATTATTTTAAATGAAGTAACTCAAAATTTTTGATGAATCAGAAGTTAAAATTTTGTCAATACATCATAGGCGACAGGTATGTTAACGATTTGTAAAAAATTCAAAAATATATTTCATAATCGTAGTAAAATATAATCACGAAAACTGACTATTTTCTTTTTTTTCTATCACCATTTTGGAAGTCTATAATTTCTAGGAACTTCTATTTATATTAATAAAATGTTAACTACATCTCTAAACACGGTGATTCTTTTAATTTTGACCAAAAATTTAAGTAAGAATTATTGTTGATAAAACTCCTAATTAAATTTGTGATCATATTTTAAAAAATCAGTATATAGAGATGCTGTAAGCATTTTATAAGTATAAATAGAAGTCCTATTATTTAATTACAAAATCATAAAACACTTCTTTTATTTACTCAATTAAAAAAATTCTATTAAAACAGTAACAAAATACCTGTTAAGTCTTAAAAAGAATGTACTTAATAGTTTCATTATTTAATTAAAATAATAAAAATAGCTTATATCAAATATAGAAATGAAATGATGAAAAATATGTTATAAAAATGTATTAGTACTTATATTTATGTTATTATATTAATAATGCTTTAATATTATTAAACAAAAAACATTGGCGTATTCACACAAAATGAATGGTTTAACATGTTATTTGCCTGCTCTTCGTCCAAACGGTTTAAGTTAATTCTTTTACTGTAAAAATAAAAATAAATTTAAAACCTTATTAATGAAATTTTAATCTTAAAAATTTAGATTTTATACAAACTTTTCAATGTAAGCACGAGCTCTAAATGCAGCTAAATGAGCATAATATGTAGGAGCTGGATAAGATACAGATCGAGTACATCGAGCAAACATAAAACACAAATAAAATGTTAGTTGCTCTAACTGATCCTCAGAGAGATTATTATCATCCCATAATAAATGATATTTAGTTGGTCTAGAAGTACCCTAAAAACAAGATAAATATAAAAATTATGTAAGTGAAGAATTTAGATGAGTATCTTTATCAAAAAAATTAGACCATGACTTGTTTATAAACATTTTTTTTTTCTAATTGATTTTTATGACATTAAGGCTAGAGAGTAACTAGGCTTAATAAAAAACCTAAATTACCATCTAGGAACAATAGACAGAAGTGAAAACATCTACTAATATATTGATTAGTGGTTTAAATTAAACTTAAAAGTGGCAGTCTTAATTGAGATGTGTGCACGTATATATATATTTATAGAATATATGTACAAAGATATACTGAAATATAATTGTCAGTGTAGCTAACTCATTTCACCCATTTACTCCCATGAAATCTAGAGCCTACCAAGAGAATTTTTATATAGTAGATAAATATTTTTTTAATTTTAAATAAAAAATTTAAATATTTTAAAACTCCAGGTAAAACATAAAAATTCCTGACATTTTTGGGTTTTCTAGGTTACATAAACTTTAAATAATCAAACCAGCAAAGCGTCATGCCAAAAAGTGGCATTTAAAAATATTTATTTCATATTTTCTAAACTATAGTCTATACATTTTTAGACTTTATACATACTATCTAGTGTATAGATTTTCTCAAATGCAAAAATTAAGTTATTAATTTAAAAGTGTATTAAAATATAGTTTAAAATTAGTATTTGACACAAAAAGAATATTTATTAAACAATATGAAATCAATAAGTAAATTAACATACTTGAATACTAGCATGACTACAAAGATAAAAATCAAGTTCAGTTGGATGTGTTATATGGGTGTCAACAATTGTTCCAGATGGAACATTTCCAAATTTACCATCCATATCCAATTTATTTTTAGGGAAAAATCTGGTATGATGGCGTTTTTGTACAACAACAAATGTTATAGCTGGCTTATAATTTGGATTCAATCTCATACAGGCTCTACGAATAGCCATTAATTCATCATTTAACACTTGCATAAATTGCCCTTCACTGACACCATCTCTAAAAAACAAAATTTTATTGGGAATTGATTTAGTTTTTTCTCTAAATTTTGATAGTTGTATGTGTATAATGTCTTCAAGATCTTGAATGATTTCAACTTTTGGTGACTGCAAACGCCATTCCATGTTATACTGAAATGCTTTAACATCATGACTGGCAGCTACCTTTATTGATGAAATAAGAATTAATAAAATTGTAGTTTGTTAACCTTATAACAATTTGAAAAGAAAATGTAAGCCGATAAATTTAATTAAAAATCATAACTTACTTTTTTATTCACAGCAAGTGATCTTAGTGAAATATTTGTCATAACAAGACATTAAGTTAGATTTATAATAAATGCCTACCTTGGATAATACTAAAATAATAGATCTAATATTTTGCTTAGAAATATATATATATATTAAATTTAAGTTTAGGGAATCAAGGAGTTAAAATATAAATAACCTTTAATATCGTAACCAAAGATCTTGCACTCCTCGAGCTTAACCCCCTCACCCCAAAATGTATAAAATAAAATTTTTAAAGATAATTTGATGTTCATTTGCTTGTTCACTTGCTTAACAAGTAATTAAAATAAAAACTAACGTATCATTACTCTTATGGAAGGCAGTAGTATTACTCTCCTATGTGGGTAATTCTGCCCAAAATGATTTTTAAGAAAATCACTAGTCATTTTATAACATATTACTTTAACTTCTCTTTGCGATTAAAAAATAAAAGAAGGTATGTACGTCTATATTTGAAAATAAAATTAATTTCTCTGTGTTAATTTATTTATATATAATGTTCCTTAAGTGAGCAGTATTACCCAAATCTTACCTACAATCAATAAAACAGAAATTAACATTCCTTAACTTACGGCTGCAACAGAAGGTATTGCAGTTTGATCTGGTGACGGATGAGTGACATCAGCACCAAAAATGATTGCACCTTCCATTGTTTTTGGACTAAAAATTATTTTATAATTAAAAAAAATAATAAATAATTATACCTGATTTGGATAAAAGTCAATTCATGTCAATTTTTAAAATTTCTGGTAATCTTATCTTATTGATAAATTAAAAATTTTAAATGAAATATTTTTTATTTTAACTTACTATTTACATACCTTATTTCTAAAATATATTTATAGTTATTGTAATATTAAATTTTAAAAAATTATACTTCAATTTTAAACAATACACACAGTTAATAAAATATTACTTTAACAGTGTTAAATTACAAAAAATATAGAACAAAAGTATTTTTTATACGTTATATATTGTACAAGGTGATTTATTAAGAATAAGACACTCAATTTTTTGGAAACTAACAATTTTTTTTATCCTTTTGTGAAGGAAAAAATGATTTGATTCAAAAAACTGTACAATAATATGTATTTAAATTATTTTTTTCCATGCCTTTAAGATTAAAAACCCTAACTTTCATTCTAACATCAGTGAGTTATTTTTAAAAATGGTTGAAATTCTAAAACGCTCCCGGTTGGAGTGATAAAAATTTCCAACCTTCACCAATAATTTTCCTAGACTCAAACCAAGTACTTGTTCAAAAATAAATTGAAAATCATAGTACACTAAGTAATTTTACAATTAAGTGTTTTTCCTTTTTCTATTATATGATAAGAAAAAATACAAATAAACAATAATTTAAAAAGGTCAGTTTTCATTTTTTAATAAAATATTTTTTCTAAAATTTCTTTAATTTTTTTAGCCTCTTAGAAATGAATTATCTTTACATTTTTGTGTCTTATGTATGTGTATCATCTTTCACAAATGGTTTTTCCTTTTTTTATTAATTGCCTAGTTGTCTGATTGATTGAAACATTTATATCAGTTGGGGTCTACTCTGTTTCATTAATAAGATTTTTAAAAATCACCAATCTTTACAGCTACTTTTTTGAGAATCTATTTCTTTTATCATTTCTTTCTATTCAAGTCTTTTGGCTTCTTAAATTTTCTTAATTACTTACTATACCCAATTATATAACCAATTTGTGATTATCCAATGTAAAATTAAATAAAATTACAATATAATACCCTATAATAAATACATGGTACATCATGTAACAATTTATCTATTTTTAGACTACATTAAAAGCATATTTTTATTTTTTATTATTAAAAAAAAAACTGTTAACTTCTAACTGTTATTTATATAAGAAAAAAAGGTTATATTGCTTTAATTATAAACCAGTTTCTATACCCATAAATAATAAAAAAATATATTTTAGTAATGATAAAATCTTCAATAGTTGAGAGTAAACAAATTAAAAAGATACTATAATCCCAATATTAGAGTTAATTTTTGTAAAAAAAGTATACCACAAAAATGAAATTTTTTAGTAAAGCAAAACTCTTTATGAACCAAATTGTAACATATTTTTCATAGTAAAAAAAATAGTTTTTAAAAAAAGTATTACTTTTTTTTAAATTATACATTTTTATTCTTGAAAATTTTGATACCAATAAAAGTACTAATTAATTATTTTGTGGCATACCTTTTTTTTTTTTTAATATTGATAAAATTATAAAAATACCAGCATCGAACTGCTAATGTATGATTTACTCCATTTAATTTTGAATTGATTTTCAATAATATATTTCCTGCTGTAGCAGGGTTCATTTTATACATAGTTTTAGACTTAATGCATTGAGTGAGTACCCCAACTTGAAGTTCTGATTGCTGCTTTACAGTTGCTAGATTATAAACAAATTGAAATATAAGAATTTAAATTATTTGTAGGAGATAACAAAATATATATATAATATATATAAATATAACATTTTTATACCATAAATTCCTAAAGGTGAATCAGGGATAATTACTACAATTAATTCCATATTGATCTGTTTTTGAGAGGTAAAAAATTTTTTAATTTCTCTTTCAATTTCATTTAGTCTCCAATTTCTTTGAACAGGCATGTTGTATATTGGATTCATTGGACTAACATTAACATTTAAATCTCGACCAGATCTAATTAAGTCTCTTTCAAAATCTCTAAAATTGAAAATCATTAATTTTATTTAATATATTTAAAAAATTAAGTATGTGTTTTACTTTATTTTTTGAACATTAGTGCGTACATCTAAGTTTAGTACAACCCATTTGCTCAACTTGATGGCTTCTAGAAACTTATCTGCTCTCCATACACCAAGACGAGGTTTAATTTCCTGATTATTAAATATATAATTATTTTAATGGTATAATAATTATTATTATTACTTCAACAAGTCAATCATTGCTATCAATAAGGAATTTTCTTTAACTTTTTAATTGTCTAGAGTAGGTGTTTAATTAGAAATTAGTAAAGTAGTTCATAATTTTAAGTAAAAATTTAAAATATTTATATATTATAAAATTTTAGAAGGCTAGAAATATACATTTCTATTTTTAAATGTAAAATATAATATTATGAATATTAATACTTAAAAAATCAGTCCAATGAACAGCTGAGAAAAAATAGAGACAGATACAAAAAAATAAATAAATAAATAAAAGCATTATGGTAAAATCGATATCTTCTTCACATCGAAGCTAAAAGAGGTATATAAAATTATATTATACTTTTATATACCCTCTGATCCTGATATGACAATACTGGCTGATCTAACACTCTAGCTGGTATATTAGCAAAACTTTCTTGAATCTCTATGCCAAATTCTTTTAAGACTGGATCGGCATTATAATTTATTTCTTTAATAGAATTTTCAATATTATTACGACGATCTGATGGTGGACGAGCAGCATTTTTAACCATATTAGACGTTTGCATTTCTGTCAATTTTTTCATACGAATCTGCCCTCTTTGAACAGTACATAACTAATAAAAAATAAAATATTTTTTAGAAATATTTAACACTTCAATCCATGGTTAGTTGGTCATATTTAATTCACTTTTACATTTTATGCCTTTAACTCCCTATCGTAAGTTCTAGAAATAATTAAAAATGAAACTATTATCTAATATAAATTTAGTAAATTTCATTTTTGCTCTCTATTAGAGGTTTAATTGTTACTATCACTGTTTTTCTTTCATCTTTTGAATAAGTTTTAATTTTGAATATTAATGTAAAATAATTAGTGTTTTAAACAGAAATTGTGATTTTGAAACTATGTGATACATGTCAGGTTGTTGCTTGGAAAATTCAACAATCTTCTTTTTTATATTTTCTAATTTTGAAATACATCAGAAATATACTTTAATTTTACATGAAGAATGAATATATTATAAGTAAAATTATATAATTATTTGTGACAAAAAGCCATTTTCTTTTTTTTTTTTTTGTAATGAAATTAATTATTATTATTATTGTATTTTAAAATTATAAAGTGTAATAAAGGAGATTGCCTTCAACATGTTTATAAAACTTTAAGAATTGCTTTGGAAATGAAATTTTTTTTGATTCTTAATGCATTCATAAAATTTATTTTTATCATTTTTTAAAAAAATTCAATACATACTAATGAATAATAAATAATGAAAATAAATATTACAAAACATTAACTGTTATAAATTACTTGATACCTTCATTCATACATAGAAGTAATTTTTTTGATTAAAATAATTAACTAAGTTTTAATAAAAATTTTATTATAATACCAAAAAAATCATACCTCTATTGGAATAGCAGTTTTTTTGGCTGGACTACCAACATGCAAACATGGTAAATTCGGATATATGATTTTATAGTTGCGCACTCTTTCAAAATATTGTACGACATTTAAAGATTGTGTAATTCCATTAGGACCTTCTATTTCAAAGCTAGATAAAATTCAACTTTTTTAAAATGAGAAAATGTATTACTTGTATTGAAATTAAGTATATTAAAAACTATTTTTCATTAAATATTGATTTTTTCATAAAAACGAACACAATAAAATTTTATTTATTTTTGTCATACATAATAATCAAGTTTTCTGTGAAAAAAATTTGATAAAAAAAAAAATTAACTATTATCAATAAATTAAGAGAACATAAAATAAGGTAACATTTTATAAATGCTCATATATTATTTAATATGAATGATTAATTTATTAATATAATAAAATAATATAAAACTAAATTAAACTTAGAGTACAATATATAAAAAAATGTAATTAATAGTTAAGGTGGTGCACTATCATTTTTTTGTTTAAGAATAATATGAGTTGTCTATTTGTAAGTGGACTTATTCAAAAAAAAATTTTTTTAACATATTAGCTTGTAACTAGGTAGGAAAAAATTTAATTAAAAAACAATTATGACATATGTTCTTTAGAAACTAAACCACTCATATGTACTCAGTCATGTAAACCCAGAAAAATATTTAGTGAAAGCAAAAAGTTATTATCTATCTCTCACAAATGTTATAACACTTTATACAATTCCAAGAGAATTTATTGGAATTGCTAGAGATTAATTATCTTTCAGATTGATAAATTTTAGACAGTAGTCCAAAATTATTACCAAAACTGTTAAAAGACATTTTAATTTTTAATTTTTTATACAAATCTATTCACTTTTAACTGAACAGCAAGCTTGTATTTTTAAGTTGTAAGAATTAGAGTCTTACAATAAGAATAGGTTCCAGGTTTAAATTTAGCTTTATCAGCTAAAATTTTAAGATTTTTCTAAACTATTCTAAATTTAATAACTGTTACAAAATTACGATGACACTTTTAATTGAAGATTTAAAATCAAAATTATTAAGAATAAATCTTATACAGTATATCAAAAACTAACTAAAAACATTTAAAAATAAATACTCACAAAAATTTAGCAGCAGTATCAAATAAATTGTTCACTTTAAATGATCGTCTTGTGTTAGGCTGATTTGGTATTAAAAAATCAACTTTTAATCCTTTCACATAAGATGCTAAATTTTTTAAATTTCTACTATCCATCTCTGTATTGAGATTGCATTTTAGATCATAATAAATATATTCAGTTAATTTTTGGTATTTTGGAAATCCTTTATGAGCAACTAAAATTAAAAATATGAATTTAATATAATAATTTTATTTTTTCATAAATCAAAAGCTTGACATTAAAATAATTTATAAAAATCATTAGTCATTATTAATAGTAAAATTTGTGTTAAAGAATCAGGTTAAATTTGAAATCAATTATAAACAAAAGCTTTTTATAATTTAAAGTAGTTGATGAAGTTGTATAATTATTTAAACTTTATAAAAATAAAATAAGAAATATTGAGCTTTTAATATCACAATAAATTTAATACATAAATAATTCTTGCTATTTTCTAAAATAACAATTTAATTTTACATTTTTTGATGTATGAAATAAAAATAGTATATTTATACACTATAATAATAATAAGTAAAAGTTATGAGATAAATGGATGCTATACATGTGGATACTATTAGTCTAGATGGCACCACTTCCAGGTTCTAGAGTCAGATAGTGATATCATTAAGTATTAAAAGAAAGGAAAAATAAATTAAGTTGTGAGTCGGCTAAGAGGTGCTTTTGTATGCATTTTAATTCATATGTGTATTTTGCTTTATATATGTTATTTTTGTTTGTGAATATTTAACAGGGCTTTTGTGTGTGAATAAATATATAGATATTAAATAATAGTATTGCATCTTTGCTCTATTCCTATGGATGCCTGTTGTATTTCCTACATATATATGCAGTGTTATCAGTTATTATAATGTAGAGTTGGGTTGGAAGAAAAACCCTGTGTACAATTCATTGCTTCTTTCTTGTTTTAATATAAAATAAAAATATGATGAAATATAGGTTTAAACTATTTTTATAAATATTAACTAACATAATAATGGGTAAAATTTTGTTAAACTACTTTTAACTTCTTTTTTGAAAATTTCGGAATGTTTAATTTATAAATATAAACTTCTTTAAAAAAAAAAATTCCTTTCATTAGTTTTATTTCCTTTTTAAATTCATAATCACATATTGCATTCTATAAAATTAAAGAATATATTGCTTTAGAGCATGCAAATGATCATCTTTTTAATGATCACCCACTTGGGATCTACTCCAAGCAGGTAAATAATACACTGATTGGTCCTTAATTATATTTGTTTATTATTATAATCATTGGTTGCGATCAGTACATGATTGAGTTAGAAGTATACTTCATAAATAAAGAAAAAATTTAAAGGATTTACTGATAAGATTTGTAATATGTCTCTAATATTATATTTAAAATTTTCTAATTATAAATTATTAAGTGTTAATAATTAATCAATGATAATGTACCATCTATATTTAAGTAAGGTTTCCAACCAATAACAGGACTTTGAAAAAATCCTTTCCACATTTCCATTCCTTCGCCAAGATCTGTAGGAATTTGCCGTGGTAAAGGAAAAAATGATCTTCCAGCATTTACAAATCTATTGTATATAATATAATGAAATTAGCTAGAAATTATTTTTCCTTCAATTTATTAAATAATTACCTTAAGGAAAATGGTCTGTTTTTTAAAACTATATCTAATACTTGTAAAGCTTCTTGTGGAGGAGAATTTGATGATCCATTTTTCAGAAACTCTTCAATTTTAATCATTTGTATGACATTAACACAGGATGTTGAAATATTAAACTCAATCATTCTGTTATTTTCTTCATTCATGACAGATATAACATCTGCTACCTTATTAAACATTTTTCAATAATTCTGTTATTATTTTTAAAACATTAAAAAATTGTTACATTAAAATAAAATAATAAAAAATTTTGTTTTCCAAAAATATGTGGTATTTTCACACACTCATGTAAAAAATTCTAAACAAAGTAATTGGGATCAGTCATTTAAGAAGCATTATAATTCATATTTAATAATCAATTTAAGTATACTAATTGATTATTAATTCTTAACAAATTAAAAAAGATTATAAGGAAACAAAATATTTGGACACTATTAATAAAAAACTTACATTAGGAAGTTTTCTTATAGAGTACATATTCTTGCGTCCATCAAATGCAATTAAATCATTAGGATAATGTTTATGGTTAAATTCTTCAAAAGCAGTTCTAAATAAAAATTACTGTCTTTAAAAATTGAATTTATAAATTATATTTATCAATATATATAAATACCTCAACAATTTTTTTGGAACATCAGGATTAAACTGTACATCATAATGATGGACTTCTTTTTTAAATAACTTTTGCAAATTCATTGGTAAATGATTGACATCTATATCAGTTTTTCTTCCTAAAGTTCCACCTATTTTAGTATTTTTTCTTTTAGGTATATCTAACTGAGACTTCATAACTTCTAATTGTTGATTAAATTGTGTTGGTGGTTGAACTTTAAATAAAATAATAAAATATTTAACAGTATTAGCTTAAACTGATTAAAAAAAAAAAAAAAACAATTGAAACCAGTATTTTGGAGATGTTTGAGACATATTAGAGATTAGTATAGATTAAAATTTGAATGTGATTAAAATCACTGTTTTTATATTTTTTGATGGGTGATGGCAAATATTGAATAGTAATTATCAAACTATTTAATAGTTTTCATAACTATTTCATAATTTTATAATCTAAGTCTATAATTTCCACACTCCTGTACGTCACTTTTACCTTTAAATATCGGCACCACAATATTATTTCTCCATTTATTTGGAATTTTCCCTTCTAATAAGATTTTATTTAAGTTTCCTTCAACCACCTTATGCCAACACCGCCTAATATTTTCCATACTTCTACTGGCACTACATCTGGTCCCACTGCTTTATCTTTTTCATTGATGCCACAGCTTCCGATACCTCTTTTTCATTAATTAAATCTACCAGTACTTCATTCAATGAGATTTCCTCTAACATCTCTTTTAGATACTCCTCATTCAATAATTTTTCAAAATACTCTTTCCATCTTTTTCTTCACATCATCATCACTTGAGAGTACCTTATTATCAACAATTTTTATACACCTTGTATAATGATAATCTTTAGACCTTTTCTTTCTTACCTTTGCAAGTCTATAGATTTCTTTTTCACCTTCCTTTGTTCTTAGCCTATCATACAACTCATCATACCTGTTAAACTTTGCCTTACTTACTGCACACTTGGTTTATTTGCACAATCGTTTATACTCTATCCAATCTTCTCTCTTTTTGTTCTTCTGCCATACTTTGAATTGTTTTTTCTTATTTTCTATGATTTTTTGAACGTCCTCATCCCACCACCAGATTTCCTTGTTTCCTGGCATTCTACTCCTACTCTCACCAACAATGTTCTTTACACAACTAGCAAATCTATTCCACACATCATTTATGTCTCCTTCGACANGCAATATTCTTTACACAACTAGCAAATCTATTCCACACATCATTTATGTCTCCTTCGACATTCCACATTGTCCTCTCTTTTACCTTGAACAACTTTTTTTCATTTTCTCTTTTCAATTTCCACCAATGGATTTTCGATTATTCTCCTGTGTTCCTTCTGTTTTTGTATATTCTTTTCCCGTTACACCAAAAAACCATTACCATCAGCCTAAGCTATGTAGTTACACTCTCGCCTGGTATAACTTTACAATCTTTTACTCGCTTTACGCTCACCCTCTTCCACATAAAATAATCAATCTGTGATCTATTTCTTCTACTCTTATAAGTTATATAATGTTCTTCCCTCTTTCTAAAATAAGTATTAACCACAGCAAGATCATACAATATTGCGAAATCCAGGATTCTTTATCCACCCTCATTCTTCTCACTAAAACCATACCCTCTATGTACTCTTTCATATCCTCTCCTCTCATTATCTACATGTCCATTCATATCTTCACCTATCACCGCATCCTCATTACAAGGTACCTCTTGCATCATCTCATCCATCTCTCTCCAAAACACTTCCTTGTCTATTTCATCACATTCTATTTGTGTACTTATTACATTCAACACATTTTAGTCTAAAATTAATTTTACGACTATAATTCTGTCACTATTTTTAGCTACTTCTAATACTTTACTTTTCATATCATCATCCATTATTACCCCTACATCATTCTTTGTAATATTCTTCCCCGAGTATATTATTTTATAACCCTCACCTATTTCCCTTGATTTCTCTCCTATCCACTTAGTTTTTTTTAGCCTGCACACAACAAAGGTTAACTTTTATTCTCTTAAAAAGTTACTTCAATATATAGTAAAAACTAAATATTTCAACATTTACTGTTTTATAACAACTGAAACTTTTCTAGATAAATTGCATTTGATTTTTGACACTAGAGGTAAAGAAAACTTTTTAATGATGGTTTAGATGGGTAAACTAAAAAAACAATTTAGAAATTAAAAACACAATATTTAATTAAACACCAATTACAATTATAAATGCTGACAGGTAGGGTTTCAAACTCATTTGTATAAATTGAGTACCTATCAAATATTTTATGTTAAAATGCTGTTATTCAAAAATAAAGTTGATAGCTAATTAATTAAATAATATGTATCAATATGATATATTATATTATATTATAATATATTATTATTTATGTTTAAATTCAAAATAACATAATAATGGTAGTAGGAAAGAAAGCATAGATGGGGATGTGGAATAGTTGGGACAAGTATAGATGATATTTGATAGTGACAAACATCACTATCATAAATTTGATGCAAATCTGTTAAATTTCACAATTGTTTGTATATTTATGATATTACAATTTCTATATTTTAAAATTTTATAAATACATGGTGTTCCACCAAGTTGGGATGGATGTCATAAAAATAATATAAACCCAACGGCATTTTACCACTATAAAATATTAATAACTTCCGAAATACTAATAAAAAATTTTTTATTAATTATTGTTAAGCTAATTATGTATGTTGCCATTTGCAAAATAAAGGTGACACTCCAATAAGTTATAAGAAGTGATTCTAAAAAGTAATTAATGGCTGATAAATCAAAAAATATATGTATCTAAAAACTCAAGTTTTTTCAATATTATATTTATTATGTGAAAAATTGAGTGTTTTATGATAAACTGAATCATTCAGAATACTAAAAAAATATTTTAATTCAAACACTTTAACAAAATTATAATTACACAAACAATAAATTATTTATTTATATAAATTGAATAGAGCCAACCATTATGACTCTCAAGTGCTCTTACCTGATAATTTTTGTACAATATTGCATTTGGTACCTAAAATAAAAAAATAACATGCATTAATTAAATAAGTTAATTAGAAAAGTTGACAATGATATTTAAACACTCACATAGGATAGTAGAAATAGAATTGTATTAAATTAAATGCTGCAACCTACTTAACCTTTGCTTATTAAAACTTTTTAAATGCTTTTATTTCATATAATATTTGTGAGAAAACAAAAAACCTTTAAAAACTATAAAACACCTTTGAAAAAAAATTACTTAATACTAATATATTGCCATTTTTAAATCAAATGAAATTGTACAATAATAAACACCATAAAAGTAATTATTAAAACTATTACACAAAATTATTTTAGATATAAAGACAAGTTACTACAAAATCAATAATAAGCTGTCATCAACCATAGATAAATTGTTTGAGTATACTAAAATTTTTCCTTTAAATAATTGAGCTTTTCTAATAGATTTTTTTCACCTATATATATATATAGTTCTACTATATATTACATTAAATGTAAGAAATATAATATAAATAATTTATTAAACAATACATTACAATTTCAAATTGAATCTAATTTAGCAAAAAACCTATTAACACAAGAACAGTGATGTCATTTGGGGATAGAAGGTGACAACATTTCCACCCCCTCGAAAAAAAAAAGATTATCACTAAATTAATTACTCCTACAATGAACAATATTAATGTACAAATTGATGAATTGTACATAATATATACATATTAATTCTTAAATAACTTTTAAAAATATTTATAATAAGTTTAATAATATTCTGAAGTATAAAAAACTATTTTAGAGTACAATAGAACATTATTTAAATAATATACTAGAAGATTAGTTTACTTGTAAAACTGATATTAGTAGATATATTTAGTAATTTGTGTGTACAGAAGAAAATAAGAATAGAAAGCTTAATGATTAAAATTTTTTTTAGATATTTCTTATAAATTATTATGTTTGTCCTATCATTTTCAAAATTTAAATGATACCATTGCACAAGAATATAAATTGTTGATTCTTTAAAGAATGATCTTCAAAACAAAAAACCTCAACACGAAAGTACCTAGAGTACCATTAACTTGACATAACCGGTAATTGATGGCTGATCATCAAAAGTGTACCAAAAATCATGTGAAAAAAAAGAAGCACAATAAGGAAATAGAACCGCAACCCAAGCATCATAGAGACAAACATTAGCATTGGATCACCTTGCACTTATGATTCAGTTCCTGATACAATTCCATATTGTTTAATAGTGTGATGTCCAAAATTCGTGTTTTTTTAACACAGTATAGTTACTGTTTTAAAAAAACAAAGAATTCAAGTTAGAAAATTCAAAGCAGGAGTTGAAGCCCACTACTGTAAGTAGCTACTAAAATAATTAAGTGATATTACAAAGCGATTGATTTATTGTTAATAAATATTTTCTAAAATAATTATGATGATAAAAATAGTGTAATTCAAAGAACTATAAAATGCACTTAAATATGGAAAAAAAATGTGAACAATCTTATCCTTTACATCATAAAATTTTTTTAATATTAGTTAATACTTAATGAAAAACTACACTTTTATAATAAATGTCCGGAATTCATATGAATTATAAATTTTATTTAAGTGACTTAAAAACACTCAAGATTATGAAAATTTGTTGTTGCAATAATACAGTAGCGAAGAAATATTTTTTTGATTTAAGAGAATAAACCTCTTATCACCCCTACACCATAACCTCAGTTGGAACATATTTTCAAGTTTTCAAGCTTATGAACACAAATTTGTACTGGTTAATAATGTGTTTGGAATAACTATTTGTCACTAAGATTTAATGTAGAATTTTTTAAAAAAAGTCTTTTAGGAATTAAAGTTAAATTATTGATTGATCAGATAAAAAAAAATATATAAGAACAATTTTTTTTAACTTTTTTCTTATGATATATAAGAAAAAAGTTTTTAACTTGATATAAGTTAAAAATCAAGTTCCTATTTAAAAAATTAAAGCTTTTAATCAATGAAAAATATTATTTAACAATATAATACTGTAATTTATGAACCAAATAATTTGTCTTTTTATAAAAAATTTCAATAGTAGGCTCTACTAGTACAAACCTATAGAAACAGCTAATCTCTTCTCCAAATACTTCTCTTCTATTTATACCTCGTTCTCTCTCACTCCGTCTCCTATTAGACCTTCCCATTTTCAGTTTTCTCTTCCTTCCAGCGTACATGTGTCCGTAATTAAGTTACACAAATCATTTAATTCTCTCCATAACATAAAATCTCTCGGTCCTGATGGCCTTCATGGTGAATATTTATTTAAATTACGGGACGTAATTGTCTGGCCTCTCTCATTAGTTTTTAATAAATATCTTAGCTCTGGAACTTTCTCCTCTGTTTTAAAACTTGGCTCTATTACTCCTATCTTTAAGTCTGGCGACCCTACTCATATTTTAAATTATCGTCCTATTACCATTCTTCCTCATCTCTCCAAGTTATTTGAAACTGTTGTCTTAAATACTATTCGCCCTTCCTTAAACCACATACTCATACCTGAACAGCATGATTTTCGACCAAAACCCGCTTTTCTCTTACATGCAACCTAGTTTTATCCTCTTATATTTTTTAGTCATTCCGCCTTCATAGTCAGGTTGATGTGATCAACACCGATTTCGCTAAAACTTTTGATCGTGTTGATCACTTCTTACTAATAAGCATTTAAGACCATCTAGGTATCGATGAACCTCTTCTTTCATGGCTTCGTTCCTATATACTGGATTGATCCCAATTTGTTTCAGTCCACAGTGCTTATTCCGATGTTTTTTCTCCTTCATCAGGTGTTCCCCAAGGTGCCGCTCTCTCTCTTCTCCTTTTTGCCTTATTTGTAAATTCTTCCACTTCAATTCTTCACCACAACAATCTACTAATTTTTGACGATGATATGAAACTATATTATCACATTAATTTATTGTCCGTTTGTCTTATTCTCCAATTAGACCTTTAAATTTGATTATGTGGGGCGAGTCCCTAGGTCTTTCCCTTAACATTAACAAATGCTCCACAATGACTTTTTCATGCCAAAGTGACCCTATTTATTTTTTTTATTCGATTCATGATATTCCTCTAAAATATGCTAGCAATTTTGTTCACAATCTGGGTTTTATCCTTACTCGTACCCTGTGTCCTATAAAACACATAGAAGAAATTTGTTGCAAGTTCTACATGGTTTCTCCCCTTAAATCATTATTTTGTGGCCTAGTTCGCCAAATTCTCTATCCAACATCCTCCTCATAATTATGTTCCTATTCTTCATTTCCTCAACCTCTCTACTCTTGCTGATCAAAGGCATTCTTTAAACCTCTCATTTTTATCAGGTGTCCTCTCAGGTACTATTGATTCCCCGATTTATTATCCCTCATAAACCTTAAAATTCCTCCTCACTATACTCGTTCAAATATTCCCTTCCTAATCCCCTATTCTTCCACAAACTATCTCCTCAATTCTCTTATAATACACATGATAAAAAAAGCTAACACTGACCCCTCCTTTATAATGCCGTAATCCAAGTTTGAGTTACTTTTATATTTATTTGCCACTTTCAGCTTAAAATGATCTTTGTGTGTATACTTAAACTTTCTGTAATTAAATATTCTTTTGTAAATACTTTTTTTCAATTGTTATCTACTAAAAATTTACTAATATTGTATTAGGCAAGTCCCGTATTAAATAATAATAATAGTTACTAGGAATTCATGCTTTAAGTAAACGCACCTACGAGTTTCGGTACTATGAAATTTGTTTGTCCCCTTTTATTCTATTTTGCTGAAACATTAAAAGGTTTTTCGTTTACTGTATTATGAATGAAGAAAAGCTTATAATTACATCGTTTGATAAATGTAAGGTATACTTTGCGTAGAGTATACCTTATTTATCATATACCAGATGATAACTAACAGAATCTAGCAATAAAACTCATATATTTAGTAAAAATCATAATATAATCGAGCTATCTCAGATATAGCAATAAAACGATCGTTTCAATGAAATTTTTACTTATTACTTTTATTTTGTAAAATTTAATTTTAAACAAATTTTGTATGAAATATTAGGTTGTATCACATATGATTCGTCAGATATGATGAAATATTTGTAAATATGCCAATTTCGACAATTTTACGAAATAATACGTATTTTGATATTTTTCTGTAAAACTAATGGATTTAGAAGAAAAAATGTAAGAACTTAATTTATACAAAACAATAAGATTTACAATTTAATTTCTATAATTTTTTTTTGTGAAAACGCTAATTTACAAGTTAATTGCTAAAAACTAAACAACTACCGTTTTTGGCCAATTTTCAACACCAAGTCGGTACGGGTTAAACTTACATACAAATTTGGAGGGTGAGCCCAAAGAATTTCCAAAATTTTAAAAATAAGAGACTCTAATATATATATATATATATATATATATTATACACACATGTTTTGACCTTCCTAATATTCTTATCTACTAAGGTACTGAAATAGCGCTAAAACATTTATTCAGCTTTGAATTTCAAGTAAAATCTTGATTTAATTTAAGATAATGGTAAAAAATAAATTATTCATAAAGTACTATTACTTTTTTGGGGATAAGATTCTTTTTTTGAAGCATTATCAATTGGGTTCTGATGTATTGGTGTCTGTTTTTTATTTTTCTTTTGAGAATAATTCAGTGAATTTGAAGGGTTTTGAAGTGATATTTTTGGTGCACTTTTTTTAATATCTAAAACAAATATAAATTTATTTAAAATACAAGTAAATTTAATTGTCCTTCAGGGGGATCACTTAGTGATACAGTTGTAGTAAACCAGGTGCCTCAAGCTACCCTTTCCATGGGTATAATGGAGTTGGCGATAGGCTAACAACCTATCCTGTAAAAAACTCTTGTTCATGAATCAAACACTAGTTTAGCCTTGGAATTATGGATCAAAGGACTTCAGACTAGAAAACTGGAAATCAAAATTGTTTTGGAACCTGAAATATACTCACTTTATTCAAACCTGGAGTAGTAGGAACAATAGTTAGAGAGATGGAAAGATATAATTTAGGGAAGTTTTCTTTAATATGCATGCTTTTACAGAGAAAAAGGATGAAAATTAAAAAATGATTTCTATTCGTTATTAGATAGTGCACTGTGTGAGATACCAAGAGGTTGTGTACAAATCAAATAAGGAGATTTTAACACAAAAATTGGATGTGAAAAATGTTTTAAGCTTATAGTAAGTGACCATTGTCTATAACCAATTATCGGATGATAATGGGTGTTTTATAAGTTATAGATTTGGCAACGAGAAGAAATCTAAAGGTTAAAAGTAACATGTTCCCATAAGAAGATATACTAAGGTATCTGGAGGTTACTAAATGGATGGTACATAAACCAAATAAACCATGTCCTTGTAAATGCAAGATTTAGCAACAGTTTTTAGATGAAAGACTGATGGAACAAACAGCGATCACTTTCTTGTGGTAGATAGACGAGTGAAGTTTAAAAAAAAACAAGGAACTAAAAGAGAAAGAGCTATGGGACAGTTTGACATCATAAACCTTAACAATTAAGCAGTTGCTGAGAACTTAAAAAAAGTACAGAAAAAAAATTAAGAGTGATGATTGCAAATGGGTCAGGTAGAGAAATGGAACAGATGTGGGAAACAATAAAACAACTTATTCAAGAAACCTCAGAAAAAACAATAGAGAAACAATGAAAATATCTGGTTTAATGTTATTTGTGAAGCCATAATAAAGAAGAAAGAAAGCTAGAAATATACAGAACATTATCATTACTTTTAACATTATCCACTCAATTTCTCTTAAAATATTATGTTTATTGAACATTTTAGCTTCGATGCAAAGCTGAGAAGGTAATAATATTACTATGATGTATTTTTTTTTCTTTTTTTTTTTTGTGTCTTTTACCACTNGGTCTTTTCGACGAAGCATCTAGACCATCGGATGGGTCTCTTCGGAGACCGGGTAGCTTTTGTGTCTGTTACCACTTTTTCTCAGCTCTCACCGAACCGATTTCTTTCAATGATACGTCAAAAGATCACAAATCGNTTTTTCTCAGCTCTGACCGAACCGATTTCTTTCAACGATACATCAAATGATCACAAATCATATCTAGTCGAAGACATTACCCTCAAAAATTGAAAAAATTTTCCTCGTTCCCCATAAATGGGGGAAATCTCCAAAAAAATTACAAATTTAAAAGTCGCTAATTTTTTCAATTTTTTTTTACTTAAAACTGCCATAACTTTTTCAAAAATGAACAAACCAATAAAACTTTTTTTTTATATAGATACATAATGTCTTTACCTACCATTNGTCGCTAATTTTTTCAATTTTTTTTACTTAAAACTGCCATAACTTTATCAAAAATGAACAAACCAATAAAACTTTTTTTTTATATAGATACATAATGTCTTTACCTACCATTTGATATATTTTTTTTTATAAATTTGACCCTATACCTGCCCACAGGGAGGATTTTAAATGACAACTTTTTCAACTTAACTTTTGAAAGTGTTCCGGAAATACTGACACTTTTATATATATATCTTAAATTAAAACTTATGTAATATATTTAAATATTAAAAAAAAAAAAAATTCCAGACTTTATTTTGTATTTATGGTGAAAATAGCTACTGTATTCAAAAATATGCTATTTTTGTATTAAAATTCTTGGTTTTGTATTTTATTTTATTATAAAGGGATTACACTGATTTTCATAAATATTACATTAATCTAATTGACATAGTATAAAAAGTTAAACATATTTAAATTTTTTTGTTTCTTTGAAGTCGAGAAAAATAACTTTAAAATTTGAACTAGCTAAATTTCCATTTTTATTATGTGGCGAATGCGACGTACAGTTTCTGAGACGGTAACAATGGGGTCTTTTACACCTGTGGCACTGAATTTTTTCCGAATTCTTTTTGAGTTAGAAAAAAATGTTTAACTCATTTGATTTTTATCTCATTTAGATTCAATAACTTCAATAAATATCAAGGATCCCATTACTGTAGTCTCCTCTCGTGAGAAGAAATTCATATTAATATTATTTTACTATGTGTTTTTTTTTTTTTTTTGTAGCTATCATTTATTTTCTCAGCTCTCACTTGACCTATTTTTTTGACTAATTTTTATTTTTAAATTAAACGCTATCTACAGATTTGCATCGAAGCGTTATTTATGATAGTGATTTTAATCACTGTCAGATATCATCTATACTGGACCCAACTATGCCACGACCCCACTGTGCTGGGTTTTTTTTTTGGTTTTTGTTAGTTTCATATGTATTTCTATTTATCTATTATAAAATGATTTTTAGGTCCATCCCTTATATCTTATAGGAGTGTCAACTTTATTCTTTTAAATGGCAACATCATACATATTAAACTAGCTTATAGAATTGAAATTTGTCTAATTAAGAATCAAGTAAGAAGAAAATTCAAAAACAAATAAGAAACCTAAAAAACCATAAGGGACCAGGGAAAATACTTAAAATTATGGGACATAACTTGCTTGATTATGTGTCTGAACTAATAATAGAAGTTTGGGAAAAATAAATAATTCCAAAGGAGTGGGGAACAGCGTTGATATATCTTATACACAAGAAGGGAAATGAGCAGTTGTGTCATAACTATAAAGGCATCAACATATTAAATGCTACTTATAAAATTCTATCTAAAAATAATTTAAACAGAATTAAGCCACGGACAGAAGATATTTTAGGGGATTATCAAGCAGAATTTAGACAAAATAGATCTACCACAGATCATATATTTATTTTAAAATAAATTTTTCAAAAAATGTGATAGTTTGACAGAGAAGTACCAGTATTATTTATCAATTTCTAGAGGGTGTATGACTGAATACATAATGCTGATTTTTGAAAAAAAAAATATTAAGACGAATCTTTGGAAGAAGTATAGATAAAATTATGGAGAATTCGAAAAATAAAGAGCTTAAACAGTTGAACCAAATGCCTAATAAAGTTAGGGAAACAAAAAAAGGTAGACATAAATAGCAAGACACACATGGAGAAAAGAAAAAACTTTAGTTTTTGATGGATCAATGTAAGACTCCGTAAGGAAAGAGACAATTGTGACGACCATGACCACGATGGGTCAGGAAAAAAGTACAAATACCAATTAGCATGGCTTAGCAATGAATAGGAAAAGATTTACTGTATTTGTCTGTATGATTTTATAGGTTAATTACAAAGAAGAAGTGAATTAATTGATTATTTATAAGATATTCAAAACCATACATTTAAAATAGTGAGAGCCAGATGATTTAAATCTGAATTATTAAAATCGCTCTCATTAAACTTTCAACGAGTATGTTTTTGAAGATAGTCTTATGAAAATTACTTGAACAAAGGATTATTTTTAACTCTTTAAAATCCTGTTATTAACACAACTCAGTAAAAAAAAAAAACCAGTACAGTAAGAACGCATCATAGTTGGGACAAATATAGATGATATCTGACAGTACTTTAAATCACTATCATAAAAATGCTTTGATGAGAATCTGTTTAATTTCTGTTTGGGAATGATGATTTATAATTTTAAGATTAAATTTGCTATAGGTTTAAAGAACACAGCTGTTCTGAAACAGATTCTGATTCCCATCAAAACTAAAATTATCAAAAAAATATTTTATGTTACAAAAATTGGAGTTATTCATTGATCCAATTTTTTTAACAAACAAAAATCGCCGAGCTCATCAAAACACATCTAACCTTAGCGGCTGCTACTGACAAAGTAAAAAATGAAACCAGCTGAAAATTTTATCATACTACAGAGATATGTAACCAACATAATGAAAAAAAATGTTTGATAATCGGACTCTCAATATTTTGAGATTATAAATTCCTTTTATTTTCAGAAAACACCTTGTATAATTAAGGATCTTTTGACATATTGATTAACAATTTTGATCAAGTAGAAACTGGGTATTAATGGCAACAGACTAAAAAAAATTATATTCAAGACACATCATATTAAAATTAATACTTTTTCATCTTCACGTTGAATTTAAAATAATAAATAATCAAGATAACTTACTTAAAATGAAATTTCTTTTTTATGAGAAAATAAAATTTTAACTCATTAAATTTAACGACATTCTTGTCTCAAGAATAAAAACGTATGCAAAAGTAAAATTCAATTTATAGATGTATATTAATATATATATTACCTGGATCACGGGGTGGGTTTTTATGTAAAGAATCATTAGTAATTAAGGTTTTTTGTTGTTTGTGCTTAGATATTTGTTCTTTTTTGTGTAAAGAAGATGAGTTCTCTTCTAAGCTTGGAAATTCAGACTGTTGTGATTTTGTTAAATCATCTTTACTTTTTTCTTTTAGTGGCTCATCTGGAATATTTTGTGGTTTAAGAAGTTGCTTAGATGGATTAAATTGAGGATTCTGGTTTTTTTGTTGGACATAAAGTATTTTTTCATGTTCAATACTACTTTGTTTTGAAGAACCTTGAAGACATTGTGATATAGGTTTTATAGATCTTGAATGAGATTGGTAACTTTTACTTGAATTTTGTGGTTCTTGTGTTTGGTTTTCAGAAGTTCTTTCATCTCCCTGACGGTTATCTAAGTCAATAAATTACAAAATAATAAGAATATTAATTAGAAATAAATTTTCAAATTATTAGTTTTTAAAGATTTAAAAAAATTAAACTAAAGTTATATAGTGATATGGTAGTTTGCTGACTTAGACAAACAATTTCATTTGAATAGCTTTTAATAACTAGAAAACGTTGGCAAAGATTTATCAACATAATAAGATGTTGAAAAGTTAATATAAGTAAATAAAGTTGATAACATTCTTCTACAGATGGGTTTTTATTTCATTGATTTATGCTTATTAGTTTAAAGTTATAAATTAGTAGATAATTTTTCAGCTCACCTTCAGAATTTCCATCATCTTATTCAATTATTATTTATTTAAAATGTATGAAACAGGGCAATCACTTCATCTCTATTAGAAATTTTTTTTTAATAAATATATTAGGTATTTACCTATCATTTGATATATATATAGATTTTTTAATCTGACCCTTCTTCACCTGCTTACATAGAAGGATTCAAAATGATAAATTTTTCACAAAAAATTAACTTTTTCAACTTAACTTTTGAAAGTATTCTAGAAATATTGACACTTTTATATATATCTTAAATTAAAGCTTATATAATGTACTTCATTATGAAAAAAAAATTTTGAACTTAATTTTGTCTTCATGGTGAAAATGGCTACCGTATTCAAAAATATACAATTTCATAAAATACACCAAACAATTAGCAGAAAAATGCAGACTATAAAACTTATAGATCTCAATATTTAAAGTAATAAGGTCACTAAGGAGTATTTTTCAGTTAGGGTGTCAGTATGTTTTTAGCATTGAAAATAGTAACATTGTTCCCAAAATAAATATCTACAATTTTTTAGTAATTTATATGACTTTTGAGTTAAATATATATATTTTTTAATTTATGACATCAAATCTTGTAATTCTATTGTAATATAAATAATTCCATTAAAATACCCAAATAATATGTATAATAATATGATACTGCTGAAATTGACTAATACATTATTCCTGTTCAATTTCATATTATATAGTAAAATTATCATATAACAAAACGAATAATATTACACATTCATTCTTTTGATTACTATATTAAGATTTAATAATCATTAAAGCTTTTAAATCTAATCCACTGTATTAATAATAACATTATGAATGTGTTAAAACTTTCATGGATTGTCTTGTTGCTTGAGGATATATCCATGTTTACAGTTGAGTTCTGACGTTTCGGACTCGTTGCAGAGTCCATCTTCAGAGTGATGGTTGCTAGTCGGTGGCTGCAACTATACTACAGTATAGCCACCGACTAGCAACCACCACTCTGAAGATGGACTCTGCAACGAGTCCGAAACGTCAGAACTCAACTGTAAACATGGATATATCCTCAAGCACTTCAAGCAATAATAACATTATTATTTACTTAACTACATCATGACTTTAATTTTTATCTTATATTTATTTCCTGAATAATTCCGTTGTTTAATGTATTTGTTAGTTAAATTTTTATTTTTATTAGTGAATTTCAAATCGAAAGAAGTAACTTTAAAATCTGAATTAGTTCAAATTTCCAATATTACTAAGTAACAAAAGTGATGAACGGTTACCGAATCTATAACACTTGTATTTTTATGCTTGGGGTACCAGGTTTGTACCTGCCTATGACATTTAATTTTTTTTTTAAATATTTTTAATTCATTTGATTTTTATCTCATTTAGAATTAATAACTTAAATAAATATAAAAGATATCACTGTAGACTTCAATTGTGAGAAAAAATTTCTTATTCGTGTTATATTATTTTACTATTTGGTTTTTTTTTTTTGTACCTGCAATTTATTTTCCCAGCCCAGTGATAAAAAAATTCTAATTTCAGATTTCATAATCATGGTGGAATGTTGATTTAAAAAAGTATATTTTTGATTCTGATGAAAGTTTCTTATAGACTAATGTTTCTGATGTATCAATGACTAAAGCATTGTATCAAGCCCTATATTTTTTTTTATACACGTTTGTTATAGAAGTAACGAAATAAACTACTTTATCATTTTATATTATTTTTTCATAAAAATTACAATATTAAATTATTAAATATTAATTTCATACTATATATAAATGCTATAATAAATAAATATTTATTCAAAAATTATAGCTTTAAATCTAAAAACTTCTAATGAGAATATGATTAAGTAAATAGGAGTTGATGTTCCTTTTGTAATTATGCACCAATTTCTTATAATTAAACACTATCTACAGATTTCTACCTTTTATTGTAAATTTTCTACCCTTTTGACATACATGAAGTAGTTGACCTAAGATGCTCAAAATTCACCAATAGTTTTTGAATGCTGTATAAAATAATTATCCAATCACTTGAAATCCAATTTATTAAACAAAAAAAAACGGTAGCATAGTGGGGTCACGGCACAGTATGGACGAGGCATAGTTGGGACAAGTATAAATATCTGACAGTGATTAAAATCACTATCATAAGAAATGCTTTGATGCATAATTACAAAATATATACGAAAAACTAAATTTCTATCCTTTTATGTAAATTTGAAACACATGAAGTAGTTGATCTAAGATGCTCAAAATTTATCAATAGTTTTTTTATGTCGTATAATATAAAATTCTAATCACTTGGCATCAAATTTTCAAACTTTCAAAATAAAGACACCCTAATGCCATTGTTTACCAGAATGAAAGTATAATGTTATAATAATTGTAAGAGTTAATAAAACTATAAATAAATAAATTATCAGTTTAATACAATTAAATAAATTTAGTAATAAGATTACTTTTTGGATTTTTTTTTCTTCTGCCATTTCTACCTAAATATATAAATNAATAAGATTACTTTTTGGATTTTTTTTTCTTCTGCCATTTCTACCTAAATATATAAATAATATTTAATTAGAATAAACTAAATTTTTAGTTAAGAATATTATCAAATTACCCGTGTCACTTGACTTTTGGCGTTTGTTTGAATCCATTTTGTAAACAAAATTTAATTATTAAATTCTACAAATTGGCGAAAATTCTTTACTACACTTTCAGTTTTATAAATCTGATTTTTATTAAATAATACAAAATATTCTTAGGTCTTCCAGTAGACTTAACAATACAAATAGAATAAAATAATTAAAATAAAAACTTACAACTCCGTACTGAAAAAGTCAATTCAATTATGAATTACGTTTCAGAATACCTTACGACCTGTTCTACATAAGATTTTTACGACTATGAGCGCTGAAACGGAAAAAAGTGGAACTTTATTTTACGTGAAAAATGATAAAATATACATGTTTGTTAATGATTATTGTTGATAATAACGGTATCTGTTTCGAGATAACAAACAAAAATCTGAATTTTAGCGTTGCGAAAAAATTTTTAAGAGGCTTTTTATTTAAAAGGCCTACTGATTATAGGGTATTAGAGGGTAAATTATTATTATCTATGATTAACACGTATATATATTATATTAGCATATGGCATCGGCATAACAAAAAAAAAATAATAATAAATAAATAATCAAATAGACATGTAAAGACAAAGGTAAATAAATAGGTACGAAAACAGTAAATAAATTAATTAATAATTTAGGTAAATACAGAAAATTTTTTGGTAACTAAAAATGATAACTTAAAGTCGGACATCCAAGTTGGGATAACCATTCGGTCGCATCACTACCTCCTTGGTGAATTCCAAGAACTCTAACATATTTGCTCTGAAGGGGCAGGATTCTACGATATGTCTTACTATTTGAAGTTCTCCGCAGTAGAGATGGGAATTATGGTTCACCTAAGTGATCCGATTCATTCGAATCAGGTCAACTAGAAGATCCGGATCAAAGACCCGTTCGCGATCTAAAAGATATTTAGAGTCAATTGAATGGAACATTCAGTATAGTTTTGATTCTTTTGCGGTTCCCGATTCGCGAATCGCATGTATGATTCGCGATTCGGATTAGGGATGTGTCGTATAAACAAATGACATATGAATATGTTATCATTGATATTTGGTAAGCGATCAAATCGGTACAGTGTGATTTATACGGGAAAAAATTAGTTTTTGGGGGATCCGGATCACTACGGTTCGGCGATCTGAATCATTTCGTTCACTATTTTGACCCGTTCAATGCGATCCGTTCGTTCGCGAACGACACATCTCTACTCCGCAGTCACAAAATGGAGACTCAGCCAACCTCCACTTATGAAGCGGGTAATAAGGGGATGGCTGAATATCAATATTAACACGTAATATTGGGTTATAAAAATGATGCAAGAAAAATGTATTGCGCATATATAATTGCTTACACTCATACAATCACAAGTTTGCTCGTTCTGGCTAATCGTTACATGATATATCGCATGTGGTAGGAATTTTCGTTTCTTTAATGTAATTACTCCTTTCGATACAGTTACATAAAAGTAATAATTACAAAATACTAGTTACTTTTAGTTTTTCATAGTTATTCAGTACCTGTCCCGAGACCTGGTGCCAATACCGATATAGAGAAGCTGTTATTATGTTCAATCGCAACGTCCCCAACTAATTTTAAAGTAGAATTACAATATTTGAGTTTCAAATGTCTTTTTACCCAAATTAAAGCTACAAAAGTAAATAAGTCACTGAATTTCACTACCACTTGTACTCTTTTACTGAGATTTTTAAATATCCTTTTTTTTTAATAAATAAAAATATTCATTTTTTTGTTTACCCTTTATTATGGTCCATTGTAATAAAAAAAAAATTAGCATATATTTGGCCAATATATAATAATACTATAATTATATAAATATAATTATAGTTTCTAATATTATTTTTAGTTATTCAGATTAAGATTTACTCTTTAATCAAATTCTCCAGAGGGCGTAAACTTTATTTTATGACGTCATGTTCATAGATCTATGGTTATGTTATACTTCTAATGATAATGCCGTCGACCATCTACGAATTGAATTCAAGATACAGTGTAGTCATTATTTAAGTCTAATTTTTTTTTTCGTCATTTACTGGTTAAAACTGTTTTAGCCATCGCAGTGAGTTAAAGTAAAACCGTATGTGCATTTTCATCAAATTATATAGTTTATTGTTGACATAATTTGATAATTTATAGAAGGTAAATGAATAATACTGAATATTCTTTCAGTCATTTTATATATTAAAACCACTATTTATTTTAATATTTTAAACTTTTAATTAATAGCATTTTATTGTTACAGTTCAACTTCTAACAATGGCTGATGTATTGGATTTAAATGCTGAAGAATTCGTCGAAGAAGTTGACGGTAATATTTCTGTAACTAATATGCAGTAGTCCCAATTTGAAAGTGGGGTTTTTTAGATTATCAAATTTGTAAGATTACTATATTACCTTTGAAAAAAAAAGTTTATGTTGAAATGTTTTTAATCGAAAAACATAGATTAGAAACCCACAAATTTATGAAAAAGATAAAAGAAATATTAGATCAATACTTTACATAATTAAGTGGGGTTCAGCTGTTTTTATGTTAATTAAGGGTGTAATATAAATTTAATACTTTGTATAGATTCTTTATAGGCATTATCCAGAAAATTTATACTGTATAATGTAATGTTTTGGGTTGGTATTTCTATAGTTTTCCATAATTTATTCAAAATTAATAACTATAATTCTTTTCAAGAGTAGTATCTCTACTCGAAAAAGGTCTTGATACTCCTATGATTATATAAACACTCAAAATTTCTTCAGAAAAAATCTGATCAAAGTTTTAATAAATGATTTTGCTAAATAATATATCAAATAATTATAAAATGTAAATAATTAAAACTATTGGCACCATTATTTTGAAAAATTCCTTCCAATCCATGTAATATAGGGAAATGTGCCATAAAATTGTTGTTATAATCAATCAATGTTGATTTCTTTAGTTTTCACTTTATATTGATATACATTTTTGTAAACTGAACAGATAGCAAACAAATTTTATTGGTAATACTTCAAACTAGATCTGGCAAAATCCACCAGTGGGATTCAGTATTACCTTCAAAACCGGTTTTATTTAATATACCAAAATTTTCATTATTTAATAATTATTATCAATAATTTGGGTTTGGTTTAAATTTGATTAATATTTACCATAATAATTATATATTAATCAGCAGTATCTATAGGTACTATTAATTTGATATAATTTTATAGTCATTATATTATTATATTGTTATATTTTTACCATTTTTTAATATATACCAACAATAATATTAAAAGAATTCCCAATTTTTAGTAAAAATATCAAAAAAGATGCATGATCTTAACTAATTACAATGATTAAATTTTATTCTAAATATGAGTACTATCACCAATTAAAATACTGTGAAACTACGATTAGCTATCATTTGTTTATTCGTCATTAAAGTTTAAAGACGTATCAAACTACAATTAGTTATATTAGTAATAACGAATAAACAAATTATGGTTAATTGAAGTTTCACTTTAGTAAAATGCAATCAAATTAGGTGAAAGTTAATATTTTCTAAAATTTAATAAATACCATTATTATCAAATTTTGATATTTATCGATAATTTAATTATTACAAAAATTACCAATATGATGTACTAATAATTACTATTACCATCAAATAACCTCAATACCAGAATTTTTTCCGTATATGTTGGAATACTCTTATCATTTTAAATTATTTCAAATTAAAGCTTATATAGTGTAATTAAATATGATTAAAAAAATATATATATATACTTGAAACAATCTCCCACATCAACCGTCCTCATATCGCATTCAATTATATCCCTCCATCTCGTTTTTTGTCTTCCTCACAACTGTTCCTAAATACTTAAAACTTTCCATCTCTACTATTACATCCTCGCCTATTGTCACTGAACTCCTCATTTTGCCTACCTCATGTTCTCCTTTGTCAAACTCGTTCTCTATGTACTCTATTTTACTCCTACTTATTCTTAAAATCTTTTCTTCAAGAGCTGATTTCCATATCCCAAACAATTCGCAAACAATTTTAGTGAATTATTATATTTCTAAGTTGGGGATATTTTAGTATATATTTTGGTTTATGGTCATTAAACTACAGAAACATATTATGTTTTAATAGCTGCTTTATGACCATCTGGTGGTTTGTTTGTGGTATTTGGTATATTATAGCTCTGTTATTAGAGGCTGGAGCAAAGAAAAGAGTGTGACACAAAATACATATGGTGCATTATTCAATATAGAACATGTACTGTTTGCTTGTTTTGTAAAATTACCAAGTTTCATTTTAAAAAGTAAGACATTTTTTTAGAAAGTATATCTAAGCTTAAAGAAAAAGCTAGAAGAAGAAAAGGTCGTGGTTTTGATGACAAAACAAAAAGAGACGATATCAAAGACGAAGCTGAATTTGAAACAATTGATCAAACAGATGATGATGGCCCAGGACCTCAGAGATGTATGTTTTGTAAACAATGTGTAAAATAAAAATCATGTTTGAAATAATTTATGTATAATATATGTTTTCTAGCTGTTGAAGGATGGATATTGTTTATTTCCTCTCTGCATGAAGAAGCTCAAGAGGATGACTTACATGATAAATTTGCTGAATTTGGTAAAATCAAGAATTTACATTTAAATTTAGATCGTAGGACTGGTTTTTTAAAAGTGAGTTTTAAGGAAAAAAATTCTCTAAATATTTTTATTGTGAAAGAATTATATTGTAAAGATATATATTATAAAAGTTTAGTTAAAAATTTTAGATTAAGATTATGGCCAAAGTATTTTAGTAGTATCAACCAACCTTAAAAAAAAACTGTTAGTAATGTATTATAAGTTATTATGTTATATTATATCTTATTTTCTAGGGCTATGCATTAGTTGAATATGAATCATATAAAGAAGCTTCTCGAGCTCGTGAAGGACTTAACAACACTGATATACTAGGTCAACAAATAAGTGTAGATTGGTGTTTTGTTAAAGGCCCTAAAAGGTAAAAATATTTAATATTTTAATTTTTACTTTCTATAAAAAATATTTTTGGTTATTTGTTTAGAACAAAAAAGTCAAGAAGAAGGAACTATTAATGATTGCATTTTGTATTTGACTAATTGCCATAGACATTATATATAAAACTTTTAAATTAAAATATCAAAATAAATTATTACAAATTTAATTAAATTCATAGTTCATAAAAAAAAACATTATAAAATTTCTAAAAATTATTTTTTATTATTATTTATTTCTTAACAAAATATTTTTACTATTAGGCAATAATCAACAATATAAAGTTAAAAATTTAGATTGCATTTTTTTTTTCCTGTAAATGAATATTTTATAAATTAATAAAAACTTTTAAAATAGATTGTTTTGTAATATATTTAGTGTTAAATCTTTTTTTATATTTATGATATTAATACATTTTTAATCAAAGTACAGTACTAATAAATGGTTATACCAACTATTAAAAAACAATTTAACCAAAATAAATCTTCTGTAAGTAGTAGTAATAGTGGTTGCTTGTCAAATAACAATTTAAACTTCTCATGACTTTTATGGCATAAATTATTACTTTTATTTCCTTGCATCTTAGTTATAGTTTTTGCTTTCCATAAAAATGTGGAACTTATTTCAATTATAGAGTTGTATATTGATAAAATAATCTAACAAAAAAAAAACAATAAATAAATATCTCATAAATAAAAACCCAGCACAGCGGGGACACGTCATAGCTTAAACAAGTATAGATGATATTTGACAATTGTAAGCTGTAAGAACAGTTAAGAAATGAATGTTGAAGAATGAAGAGGTAGAGGAAGACCAAAAAAGAGATGGAGGAATGTTATCAAGTGGAAGTTTATGTAATTTAATATTTTTACTACTAAACAATCAATTATTTATACCATCAAATTTGTTTTAAATATAGATAAATATATATATATAAATATGTGGGTACGATTGGTATCTAGATGGCACCACTTCCAGGGTCTGGAGATAGATAGTGGTATTATTATAGTGGTATCAAGTATTATAAGAAGGGAAAATTAAGTCAAATCGTGAGTCGGCTAAGACGTGTCTCTATGTATATTCTTTATTTTATATGTGTATTCTGTTTTATAAAATATTTTTGTGATGTGTGAATATTTTATAAAGAGTTTTCGTGTGTAATTAAATATATGTGTTATTTTTGTTTGTTAACATTTAATAGAGATTTTGTGTATTAATTTATATATACATATATATAAATTAAATAATAGTATTGCGTCTTCGCTCTGTTCCTGTAATTGTCTGTTTGCATTTCTCACATATATATATATATATATATATATAATGTAAAATTCGGTAGTACAGTGGGGTCACAACACAGTGATTAAAATAAATATAAAAAATACTGCAATGATAATTTGTAGATAGTGTGATGGTGTCACGTTTTCATAATCGTGAGAATTATTTCAATAAAATACAGACAGCACATCCACTGCCTGAGACTGATGAATTAACAAATAATATTTATTACCAAATCGGCAATAGTTCTAATTATTATGAAAACCCAGTAGACCTGACCATCGTGGTCAGTCGACTCCAGTACTTTGTGTCATTCATCAGTCTCAGTACTCGGTTGTCGCTGTCCGGCTTACTGTTTAAAGTAAAGTCTTTGTTTATTCCTTTTCTAACCTATATACTCTTTTCCTCGACATTTCAGAGTACTTGTGTCTTGCACTTCGTCTGCACCTCGTACTTCATTATCCTCTCCTAATAACTAAAGTACTTGTGTCTTGCACTTCGTCTGCACCTCGTACTTTGTTATACTCCTTATCTGGTATGCCCAGTATTTGTGTCTTGCACTTCGTCTGCACCTCGACTTCACTATCCTCTCCTATACCGAAAGTATTTGTGTCTTGCACTTCGTTTGCACCTTATACTCGGCTACCCCATTCTCTCTTTGAAGTACTTGTGTCTTGCACTTCGTCTGCACCTCGTACTTCATTATCCTCTCCTATACCCAAAGTATTTGTGTCTTGCACTTCGTCTGCACCTCATACCTAGGTGTTACTCTTATTCTCCCTTCCTATAACAACAGCCTTTCGACACCCACAGCTAACCCGGAGTGTCAGCCGAGCACGGTGACTGCTGTACGACAACACGCACGTGANACTAACTCGCAGTGTCAGCCGAGCACGGTGACTGCTGTACGACAACACGCACGTGAATACCTAGACAGCAGGCACGACATCATCCTCAACCTACTCTTCTAATTCGTTTCATTTTACTGTGTTACGACAATAGTGTTTAATTTTATAAGAAATTGTTAGATTATTCCAAAAGCAACATCAACTGCTATTTTTTGTTCACCTTCGACTGCCATTTGCAGTCTGGACAAATTTTTTTTAGCTTCGGTTCTAAGCTGAGAAGGTATTAATTTTTTTTAATTTATAGTACGTAAAATAATCATTAACACATTTAAAGAATACAGTATATTTACATATAACATATTTAAAGAAAAAAGTTGTTTTTTGTATCTCACCCTTAAATTGTTTACAAAAAAATGTATTTTTGACTATCCATTTTTCAAAAAACTGACAGAGATTCAAGTAAAAAAAAAACCAGCACAGTAGGGACGTGGTATAGTTGGATCCAGTATAGATTTAATCTGACAGTGATTAAAATCACTATCATAAAAAATGCTTTGATGCAAATCTATAGTGTTAAAATAAAAAAAATGGATTATTCCAAAAGCAATATGACCCCCTATTTACTTATTTATATTCTGATTACAAGTTTTATAATTTATAAGTATAATATATGTATAAATATTTATTAAAACAAATAAATGTTGTATGAAATTGATATTTAATAATTTAGAATTAAAATTATTTAGTAGTTATTAATTTTATGGCAAACATATATAAAAGTTGAAGGTTTTGATGCAATACTTTAAAAAAATCAAAGTAATCATTTCTAATTAATTTTTGGTGTTTAAAAAGATTCTACAATTGAAATATTTAGAACTGAATTAATTTTAATGATTCACTTTAACTAAAAAAGCAACCCAGCACGGGGAGGTCACGGCACAGTGGTGACGTAGCATAGTTGGATCAAGTATAATGATATCTGACANNNCGGCACAGTGGTGACGTGGCATAGTTGGATCAAGTATAATGATATCTGACAGTATGATTAAAATCATTATCATAAAAAACGCTTCGATGCAAATCTTTAGAAGTGTTTAATTTTAAAAAATTGGTGGATTATTCCAAAAGCTACATGATCAGCTAGTTCCTTATTAATATCCTGATTATCCCGCAGAGGGATCCGCAAGGATCACGGGCCTAACAACTCCGCGGACCCTAGTTAATTCAGTGGGGGTGGAAACACGTACCACTGCTCCTAGTCGGTCATGACTTTGGTTAGTTGGGACCGGTAGGCCTGGACATACCTGCTTGCTAATAGTAAATAGGCCCCCCTAATTCAGTCATACCAAGTGAAAGGGTTGCTAACTTATCACAGGGTAGTTAGCCGAAAGGTAAAGTGACCATTGGGATCCTCTATGGCACCTGGCGCACCATAGGTATACAGCCTTATCTCAGTATCTGAGCTCTGCTGTTATGGACCTTAATTCTCGACTACTCGTGGGAACTATATGGATAAAAACCCAGCACAGGGGGTCGCGGCACAGTGGTGACGTGGCATAGTTGGATCAAGTATAATGATATCTGACAGTGATTAAAATCACTATCAAAAAAAAACGCTTCGATGCAAATCTTTAGATAGTGTTTAATTTTAAAAAATTGGTGGATTATTCCAAAAGCTTCATAAACTGCTAGTTCCTTATTAATATCCTGATTAAGATAAAGTATGTCGAATGAAAAAGGGATTATTAAAAAATAGTATTTCCCATAAAAAAATTATATTGATCAATACACTTTTCAATAAGTTATAGCATTATAAAGTTAAAAATATAAAAAATAAAATTGAGAATTTTCACACAATAATAGCATTTGGTAGCCATTTTCACCGTGAAGACAAAATAAAGTCCGAAATTTTTTTTTTACATAATAAAGTAGATTACATTAGCTTTAATTTAATATATATATAAAAGTGTCAGACTTTCCGGAACACTTTCAAAATTTAAGTTGAAAAAGTCAATTTTTTGTGAAAAAGTTGTCATTTTGAATCCCCCCCTGTAGGCAGGTAAAAAGTCAGATTTATAAAAAAAATATACCAAATGATAGGTAAAGACATCATGCATCTACAAAAAAAAGAATTATATTGATCCATACATCTTTCGAGAAGTTATAGCATTATAAAGTTAAAAATATAAAAAAGAATTTTTTTACAAAAATCGTATTTTTTTTATTAAGTTTAATGTCTGTTTTCACCATGAAGATAAAATAAAGTCCGAAATTTTTTTTTACCATTATAAAGTATATTACATTAGCTTTAATTTAAGATATATATAAACGTGTCAGACTTTCCGGAACACTTTCAAAATTTAAGTTGAAAAAGTAAATTTTTTGTGAAAAAGTTGTCATTTTGATTCCCCCCTTGTAGGTAGATAAAGGGTCAGATTTATAAAAAAAATATACCAAATGATAGGTAAAGACATAATGCATCTATAAAAAAAAAGAATTATATTGATCCATACACCTTTCAAAAAGTTATAGCATTATAAAGTTAAAAATATAAAAAAGAATTTTTTTACAAAAATCGTATTTTTTTTATTAAGTTTAATGTCTGTTTTCACCATGAAGATAAAATAAAGTCCGAAATTTTTTTTTACCATAATAAAGTATATTTCATTAGCTTTAATTTAAGGTATATATAAAAGTGTCAGACCTTCCGGAACACTTTCAAAAGTTAAGTTGAAAAAGTTCTACTTTCTACATGCATTTTTTAGATTTGAACCCCCCTCGTATATAGGGAAATGGTCCGATTAAAAAAAACAGTATGTCAAATGAAAGATGTATATAAATACTACTCCCCGTGAAAAAATTATACTGATCCATACATTTTTCAAAAAGTTATAGCATAATAAAGTTAAAAATGGAAAATACAAAATCGAAAATTTTCACACAAAAATAGCATTCGGTAGCCATTTTCACCATGAAGATAAGATAAAGTCCGAAATTTTTTTTTTTCATAATAAAGTATATTACATTAGCTTTAATTTAAGATATATATAAAAGTGTCAGACCTTCCGGAACACTTTCAAAAGTTAAGTTGAAAAAGTTCTACTTTCTATATGCATTTTTTAGATTTAAACCCCCCTCGTATATAGGGAAATAGTCCGATTTAAAAAAACAGTATGTCGAATGAAAGATGTATATAAATACTACTTCTCATGAAAAAATTGTATTGATCCATACATTTTTCAAAAAGTTATAGCATAATAAAGTTAAAAATGTAAAATACAAAATCGAAAATTTTCACACAAAAATAGCATTTGGTAGCCATTTTCACCGTGAACATAAAATAAAGTCCTAAATTTTTTTTTTGCATAATAAAGAACATTACATTAGCTTTAATTTAAGATATGTATAAAAGTGTCAGACCTTCCGGAACATTTTCAAAAGTTAAGTTAAAAAAGTTGTCATTTAAAATCCTCCCAGTGGGCAGGTATAGGGTCAAATTTATAAAAAAAAATATATCAAATGGTAGGTAAAGACATTATGTATCTATATAAAAAAAAAGTTTTATTGGTTTGTTCATTTTTGAAAAAGTTATGGCAGTTTTTAGTAAAAAAAATTGAAAAAATTTCGAAAATTACCGAATTTTAAATTTGTAATTTTTTTGGAGGTTTCCCCCATTTACGGGGAACGAGGGAATTTTTTTCAATTTTTGAGGGTAATGTCTTCGACTAGATACGATTTGTGATCTTTTGACGTATCATTGAAAGAAATCGGTTCGGTGAGAGCTGAGAAAAAGTGGTAACAGACACAAAAAAAAAANGCGCACCATAGAGTATACAGCCTTATCACAGTATCGAGCTCTGCTGTGACGGACCTTTATTTCTCGACTTCTCGTGGGAACTATATGGATAAAAACATAGAAAAACCACAAAACAACGAACTTGTGACGATCAGGGATCCTACGGACAACCTGTCGGAACAAGAGCGTGAACTAGCGATTCTTCGCAAAAGAATCGCTGTACTTGAAGGTCTCAATGCCAACAACGGGACTCTTGGTGAACCGTCTACTAGCAAAGAGACAGCAACGTCAACTAATGCAGACCAGGAGTCGCAAGATCAACTGGGAGCAGTAGCTGACAAAATCGAGGATCTAAAACTTAGACCCTCGGACAATAGAATTCAATTCACTCAGATAAACCTGCATCACAGTAAGGGGGCCAGTAGCGTGTTACTAAGGACCCTAACTGAGAGTCATACAACACACTTACAAATAGCACTTATTCAGGAGCCATGGATAAATGGTGACCAGATTATGGGGCTAAATCTAAGGAATTTTAAACTGTTTCATAAACAAGCAGATAAACCAAGAACTTGCATTTTGGTTAATAATAAAGTTAAAGCCAGCTTGATATTTAATCTATCAAGTGCAGACTTGACTATTATTAAAGTAACATTAAATTATGGTAAAAATATTATAGTAGCTTCAGGATACCTACCATATGAGGTCACAAACCCAGGTAGGTCCCTACCTGGGTTCTTTAATTATCGCAAAAATGAAAAATTAGAACTTATTCTAGGTATGGATGCTAAAGCACACCACACTATTTGGGGGAGCAGTAACATCAACCAAAGAGGAGAGGTAATAATGGATCTATTGCCGACTACAGACCTCAGTATACTAAATAGAAGTAGCGAACCTACCTTTGTAATCAGGAACAGGCAGGAAGTCATTGATAGTTTGCTCAAAAGGGTTACTTCATAAGATAAAAGGGTGGAAAGTGTCCTCCGAACCTTCTCTTTCTGATCAAAGGCACTTACGATTTACTTTGGAAATTAAAAGTTAAGACGGAGTACTATAGGAACCCGAAAAGAATAAACTGGGAAAATTACAGGGCAGATCTTTCTCGTGACCTGAATAACCTACAATTTAGATTGGGGTCGAGACAGAGTACTAAAAGGGCTGTAAATATACTACAGGACTCCATTGCCTCGGCTTACAAAGAAAACTGTCCTTTAATAGAAAGGAAAGGTACAGGACAGGGTGTAGCTTGGTGGAATGCTAACCTGTCTAAATTAAGAAAGAGTTCACGTAATCTCTTAAATAAAGCAATGAAATCAGGTTTGGAACAACACTGGGAATCCTATAAGGTCGCCCAAAGGAACTACAAATCTGCATTGAAAAAGTCCAAATGAGAAAGCTGGAAGAAGTTCTGTGGGGATATACAACAACTCCCTATAGCAACTAGACTTCTGCGATCACTGAGGAAGGGACCAAACAAAACTGTCGAGGCAATACTACTGAATGTTCACTAATAACGATAATGAAACATTATCACATTTGATGAACACACATTTTCCTGACTCGGTAATTAACAACAGAGAACAGTCACATGATGCACAGGACAAACGTGTGGCCTATGCAGATTGTAGACTAACCAGGAAAGTGATAACCCCAAGTGGAATAAGATGGGCAATAAAAGCTTTTGGCAGTTTTAAAGCTGCAGGCTATGACAAAATTTTCCCTGCACTTCTGCAATAAGGGTTAGAGATAATCGTCCCCCATCTCTGCAAAATATTTAGGGCATGCCTTGCCTATGGTTATCAACCGGAAAGCTGGCGTAAGGTTAGGGTGGTGTTTATACCCAAACCTAACCGCACTAACTATTATGAAGCAAAATCCTACAAACCAATCAGTCTTACTTCTTTTCTTCTTAAGACTATGGAGAAACTTATTGATAGGTACATCAAGGAGGTGCCTCTAAAGGAGAACCCTTTACATGAAAACCAACATGTGTATCAAACGGGGAAATCTACTGTTACAGATCTACACTGTTTAACCACTAAGATAGGGAAAGCTGTGGAGAATAAAATGTATACAGTAGGTATATTCCTGGACATCGAAGGGGCTTTTGACAATACTCCCTTCGATGCTATGTGCGAATCTGCACAAAAGCATGGAATAGAATTTCGGGATCAATTCATTTTGGGAACAATCCATTTCAGCTCAATGAGATCAAAGTAATCAAAAGTGTTAAACAGGGATGCCCACAAGGCGGAGTTCTATCCCCCTTGCTATGGTGTCTAGTATTGGACTCGCTTATTAGAGAGTTAAACAAATACTGTTATACACAAGCCTATGCGGATGACTTAGTTATAGGAGCGGTGGGTAAATTCCCAGACACTATTATAGACTTAGCACAACGGAGACTAAACACTATACAGATATGGTGTAGTAAGTATGGTCTATCTGTTAATCCAAATAAAGCAGAGGTTGTTATGTTCACTAGAAGGAGAACAGGACTAGAGAGTCTTGGCACTCTTACTCTAAATGGACAAAAAATTAGCTTAAAAACAGAAGTAAAATACTTAGGTATTAGGTAAGCTAAAATGGAAATCACATGTTGAGTTAAGAATCAAAAAAGCAATGACCACATTGTGGACTTGCAGCAGAGCCTTGGGAAAGATATGGGGTCTTAAACCAAGAGTTATGTATTAGTTGTACACTTCAGTGATTAAAACTATGATATTGTACGGTGCCCTAGTCTGGTGGACCAGAACAGCACTCGTTACAGCTAGGAAAGAACTTAGTCGCATACAGAGAATGGCTGTTATGGCCATCACTGGAGCATTAAGATTCCTGGTCTATTGCTGGGTAATCTTAATAGCATGACTAGACATCAAATAAGCACCCTGACTGGTCTACTGGCAGGACATGGTCACCTGCTTAAACATCTTAACGCAATGGGGGTATCGGAACCACCATTGTGCAGGAAATGTGGAGTAGAAGAGGAAGACTCATTTCACATCATGTGCGAATGTGAAGCCTTGTCCACACTAAGATCAAACTACTTGAGTAAACCTTTTCCTGAAAAAGAAGATATTAAAAACCTAAAACCCAGAGAGATACTTAATTTCGCCAGAAAAACAGGACTCTTTGGTCATCTGTAGAGGTGACTTTATGGTTGGTAATATATTAACACTTCGGTGATAACACTTAAGTGGGTAAACCGAGTTAAGACAATTCGGTATGAGGTGCGCACAATGGACCAACAGATTTGAGTGCATGGGCATTATGTCCACCTCGATAATAACTAAAACTAAACTAAAAATATCCTGATTAAGATAAAGTATGTCGAATGAAAAAGGGATTATTAAAAAATATTATTTCTCATAAAAAAATTGTGTTAATCCATACACTTTTCAATAAATTATAGCATTATAAAGTTAATAATGTAAAAAATAAAATCGAGAATTTTCACACAAAAATAGCATTTGATAGCAATTTTCACCATGAAGATAAAATAAAGTTCGAAATTTTTTTTTTTTCATGATAAAGTATATTACATTAGCTTTAATTTAAGATATATATAAAAGTGTCAGACTTTCCGAAACATATTCAAAAGTCAAGTTGAAAAAGTTGTCTTTTTAAATCCTCTCCTGTTAGCAGGTAAAGGGTCAGATTTATAAAAAAATATACCAAATAAAAGGTAATTATATCATGCATTTATATAAAAAAAATTATATTGATTTGGTTATTTTTAAAAAAATTATGGGTAACTTTAGGTTAAAAAAAAAACCCAGCACAGTGGGGTCGTGGCATAGTTGGATCCAGTATATATATTATATCTGACAGCGATTAAAATCACTATCATAAAAAACGCTTCGATAAAAATCTGTAGATAGTATTTAATTGAAAAAAAAAAATTGTCAAAAAAGTAGGTCAAGAGCTGAGAAAATAAATTTAATTACAAAAAAAAAAACCACATAGTAAAATATTATTAATATTGGTTGAAATTGAGTAACATTAACACGTGCCACAAGAGGGTTGAAAATTCGTCTGTAAGGGTGGTTTTTCAGTTTTCTTCATTTATTTTACAAACTATGTAATTTACAAAAAAAATCATAAAACTTATTTTGTAGAACTATATGTTTTCCATAAAAAATATTATTATAAAAAAGTCCGTATCCATAATATTTAGGCTTAGAAATTTAAAAAACAAAATATATTTATTTCAACCATTGAAATCAGTTTTTTTAAGTTTAATAGTGCAACTTATAAAAACGAGTTTCATACAAAAATTTAATTATCATTATATTTGTTCTATTTTCAATTAATTATTATCAAATTCAGTTAAGCTATTCGCAAAAAAATTATTTTATACTAATACAAAAGTACAAAAACAACGCAAATTAATTCAAATGCAATCAATGCAAAGTAATCTACGTTACTGAAGACAAATTAAAATAATTGATAAAAATTAGCCATTTTGGAAAAATGTGTCGTACGTCGGTAGTGCCCAACGTAGACACAAATTAATTAATGTTTATATATATATATATATTGACGACGAGTTCGTCGTTCGAGCTCTTCTCGAGTCCTCCCGTTGGATAAACTGATCAGCCCCAATCTCTCTAATTAGTGGACTACTAAAGGGGTAGAGTTTAGAGCCATCAGCACAGTCTAGCTCAAAAGTAGCAGACTGAAGGGTAGCTCCTTGTCAGCCACCAGCACAACTACCTTTTTACTATACCCACTAAAGGACGGTTAAGCCCAAACACTAGCCAGCACGCATACTAATTGTTATGATTGACTAAAGGACCAGTAGTCCCACCTCGACTCTTGACGCACACACACACACACAATTCTAAGAGCACGGTGAATATAAAATATTTATGCTAAGCCCAGATTTTTAAATAGCTATTTTATTTAAGAAACGTATCAAACACAAAGTCAAAAAGTAATATCAAAAATGTAACACAAAACAAAATTAAATCGTACAATGACACTCGACGTTTCTTCGACAAAAACGTCCAGCCCTCTATCCTTTTCATGTTTCCCTTTTATATTCTTTTTCCCACCATTATTAATTTGATTATCCTGCAATTCCCATCTATATGACACCACTGTATTGCTTGAGAATTTAAAAATTGCTTACTATTGTTTTAAACCTCGTATTATACTAAAATCGACATTATTCAGCTATTTACTACAAATGTGTCACATGTATTTTTTTAATTCATTTGTACATCAAGGCATGGTTTAATGCATCCTCAGCTATAAAAGCACCTATTCAAAACTTGAATTTTATTAAGTTTTTTAAATTATAGCGCTGTAGATAAAACTATATCACAAGTTTAGTTAAAAAATTTTGTGGCCATTTATGGTATTTGTCATCCGAAATTTGTTTGATGAAACTATACCAGTTGAAACCAAAATAAAAATGATAAAATCTTTAAAGAATATAGAACCATCATCAAATATAGTGTCAAACTCTAAGCGTTTAATCGTTTCTCCGAAATATGCTCATGTGTTTTAAGAGATAGTCATAAAAATGTCTATTTTACATGAATTTTTAGCGCTTCGTAATTTTTTAGTTCAATTTAAAGTATTTTTAAGTAATGGATAATAACTCAAATTATAGTGTACTGAGAGAAGAATTTGATAAAGCACTGAGAGATCTAAAAAAGAAGAAGGCTGCAGGAATTGACGAAATCCAAGCAGAACTTTGGAAAGAATCTGGCGAAAACATGCGCAGTGAGCTTTTTAAACTCATAAAGGAGATATTTAACTCAGGAAAACTTCCTGTAGACTTTACTAAGTGTAAGATTATTCCTATTCCGAAAAAAGCAACCGCAAACAAATGTGATCACTACCGTACAATNCAAAAATTTACTAAGTCAAAAATACTGACAATAATTATGTCAAGAAGAATGGAATATAAGATCGAAGCCATATTGTCAGAAGACCAGTTTGGATTCAGAAAAAACATGGGTACAAGGGAAGCAATACTGGCTTTAAGAATAATTATCGAGAAAAGAATTAGAAAAGATAAGCCTACATACATAGCTTTTGTGGATATAGAAAAAGCGTTCGACAATGTCAACTGGGCAATAATGTTCAAGATGCTTAAAAAAATAGGTATAGAATACACTGAAAGGAGACTACTCTTTAATCTATACCAGAAGGAAACAGCTGTTATACGATTTGGCGAAACTGAGGAAGAAGCATGCATAAGAAAAGGAGTAAGGCAGGGTTGTACTCTCTCACCTAGCATATTCAATGCATACATCCAGGAGGCAATTAACATAATAAGAGAGAAAATACATTTGGGTATAAAGATAAATGGCAGGAAAATCGATATGCTACGGTTCGCAGACGATATAGCAGTCATAGCTGAAAATGAAGAAGATTTGCAAAGGATGCTGAGGTGTATGGAAGAAACTCTGCTCAATGAACTGAGCATGAAAATAAATACGAAAAAGACCAAAGTTCTCGTATGCAGCAGGAGCAATAATATTACGACAAGAATACATCTGCAAAATAACCAAGAAATAAAGCAAGTAGAAGAGTTCGCATACTTGGGAAGCATAGTAAGTAAGGATGGCAGAAGTAAAAAAGAAATAGTAAAGCGAATATGCCAAGCTAAGATAGCATTTAACAAAAAGAGAGGACTTTTTACTTCAAAAAATATTAGCATACGTACCAGAATATATCTCCTGAAGACATACGTATGGAGTATAATGCTGTATGGCAGTGAGACGTGGACGATTGCCAAAGAAGAGCGAAGAAGAATAGAAGCTTTCGAGATGTGGTGTTTCAGAAGAATGCTCAAAATAAGTTGGACGGGCATGGTAACAAACGAGGAAGTATTAGAAAGAATGTCCGAGAGAAGAACTTTATGGAGCAGTATCAAGAAAAGGAGAAATGAATGGATTGGACATGTATTGAGACATGGTGGGTTGCTAGGATTGATTATAGAAGGCTGTGTGGAAGGAAAAAATGCTAGAGGAAGACCACGAATGGAATATATGCAACAAATAATAGAGGACCAAGGATGTACTTCTTATGAAGAGACAAAGAGGAAAGCAAGTAACAGGGAAGAGTGGAGAATTGCTACAAACCAATCTCAGGATTGAATACTGAAGAAGAAGAAAGTATTTTTATTAAATTGATTGCATGCTGACTAAAAAAAATACTATTAACTTTATACTTTAACCGTAATTATATACTGTAACTGCGATTATGTTAAAAACCTGTATTTTTTCCTCCTTTTGATTAATTTTAAGACATTTTTCATCGAGCTTCTGAGTCATTTTAACTTTGGTATCTTCAATTTCAAGTACAATTAATTTCAATTCCTAAATTAATTAACAATATTAAGAATGATACAACTAAAATATGAAAGATATCGGTTGAAGGAGACAAACAGGGAACAATTGATCTAAGGTGAAAAGGCATTATACAAAATGATAAAAAAAAAAGAAAACAAATTAATTGTTACAAAAAATTTAAACCTTGTTCATATCTAATTAAGCATTCTTTATATTATTCACATTCTTTTGCTTATACAATTCCGGTGTCTAAATGCTATTGAATGTGTTAGCACATTAATCAAATCTGCCCTAATTAGGTCGGGTTAGTTTAAATATAGCTTGGATAGTGTTTTTAAAGTAAAAACTTCTTTTAGTAAATACTACTTTTTAACATATTAAAAGTATTAATGCCAAATAGCTCATGTAACAAAATTTCCTCAATAATATCTATTATTGAGGACATTTTGTTAAATAATTAACTATAGTTAATTATTTTAAACTAAACCTATATTAAAAATATTTTTAATTTAAAACTAAAAAACATTTAAAATATTTAATTCAAAAAGCTACAAAAAAATTACTAAAAATCGAGGATACATATTTTGGAAAAAAATGTTACCATTATCAACGCTAAACACATACTCATAGTAAAATGAATAAGTATGCTTGATCAAATTAGTGCGCAGGATATGCCTAAAATATGGTTGCAAAATATACAACCAACAATAAACTCAACGTGACGTCACATGTAAATACATTACGTTGTATATATTCTATATTAAGGGGCACTGTCCCGATTTAGCCAAGTATTTTAATGAACTTTTTTTAGTTAATTTCGGTTTTCAATTTCATTTATAATTTTTTTATTATTATTAACTTCAACTGTGTTGTAATACATCTTTATTGTATTATCTGCTACATTGTAGTAGTTTATAAACCAAGATTTAACTCGTTGATAAATCTAACCTGACAAAAACTTTAACTGTGTTGACATTATTAAACAACACACTGGGTACAGTAATATTATTTAAGATAACAGTTTAATATATTTTTACTTATGTTAGTATAGTACAAGGTCAAAGGGACACATTCATTTTACGATTATGTTGTTTTAATCAATGCAGCCTATTGTATACATGTTTATAGTTTAGTCGTAGTTTCGCCGTCTATCGAGTAGAGTGACCCATTGCCGTTGTACATCTCTTATATTATATGTTTTGATATTTTATATTAAATACTATTATATTTAGAATAATTTCTAAATCTTTTAATTACATAAACTATTCCATTCAACAAACTGCTTAGTAAAATTTTACAATGTTTAACTGCATATAAATAGTTAAATATCAATTTATTGTGTAATTACTTACAGTAAGTATAAATTGTTACATTATTTATAAAAAGTGTAGTTTTAATGATTAATAAATTTTTGCATTTTTTTTTTTTATTGCTCATTTCTTGTGATGCAAGTTTTTTATTTATATTCCGTATTCTAAAATATATTCTTGTTCTAATAATGAAGTTTAGGACTTCATCATCCACCAAAAGATTATCTGAATTACATGCTTTTTTAATTAATTCCAGTACCTCCTTTATTAAGCCTGGAGTTTTTCTAATATCATCTATTAAAAATTTAATCATAGGTATGTATAAAATATTTTATATTAACTGTATTTCTATAAGTACCATTTCCATTTAATTTTTAAAGAATGGTTTCTATGATTTTTCCTAAATTTATAAATGTAGGTGATGGTTGTCGTAATGTTCCAAATTATTTAACCTCTATTCAATCATTAAGTTCATTTAAATTATCTAAAAAATTCGGATATTTGTAT